CGCTCGATTCAATCTTCATAACAGGAATCCCGGTCGACGTAAACTGTGAGAATGCCTCCAGTCAGGTGTATAGGAAACCATTGTCGGCCATCATTTCATGCCCTGCGATCTCTGACCGGTTCGTATATACGTTAGGTCCGCGCAGTCTTCATACTAAACACTCTCGCCCGTGTTTAGAACGCCTCTATTTTTGCCCACCGAAGTTATCCACTGCTAGGCACGGCCGTTTAGTTACAACGACTTCTAGATGCGCCTGGTCAACTGTCGTTTGCTTTGCTTGACAATTTGTAGGCGGAAGTGTTTTTGCCGATAGGAGCGAAGAGGCAAGTCCCGGGAAGCAGTCATGGAGAAAGAAACGCGATCACTGAAACAGTAGCTTTATTAGTCTGATGTGCCGGATTCTCACTCGAACCACCGCCTAGTACCCTTATGCTGCAATTGTCTCTCATGATAGATACGAGTGAAAATCCGATAAGTCAGGCTAATTGGGCTCTTATTCCAGCGCGCATGGCTCCGTCTGTGCGAGGATGATTTTGTTTACTTTTTTCTTTCACCTGACCTCTCAAACAAGGTGGCCATCAGATTGTTTATCTAGCTTTCGATTCTACCAAAATGGCCTTCATAACTTCCTTTATCCCGCTAATCGGTTTTCGTTTAACATTCGTATTCCATCACAAGATCATCGATTTTTCTCCAGTGGGTTCCATTTTGGCTTAATTATGCACAAAACAGAGCGTAATTCCTTTCCTGATGATTTTATCTAATGTTCAAGCTCTCGCCCATGGCTGAAAGGTTAGCGAGGCAGTAATGGCCACCTGTACTTCGCTTCCCGCCTTCTAGTAATCAAGTCACGGTAATACACTATGATCTGATTGCACCCTTCCCGATCACAGTCAACACCTTTTTATTGTCGGGCTAGGTCTTGGTCAACCTTGAAAAAAAGTGAAGTTGAGTCCATACCGTCTGGTTAGGATGTGTTTGTTGACTTCAGTGAACAATTTCGTCATTCTCATCCTTGAGCCTGTCAGTTGGTCCCCTAAAAACGTTTATCTAACCATTATGGCTTTTTTGCCGACTTCTACAAGGGTCGTCTTCTGCCAACTCCAGAAGTGGTGCCTTTCCGCCTGACCCGGGATCTTGTGCATGCTCTCGGTCCCCTTGGCCCCGAGGCCGGATTCACCGTCGCTGCCGAATCGGCTCTGTTGGCCTTTGCCTCCGGTGCAGATGTCATCATCACTCTCCTCGAGGTACGAGACTGAAATCTGTCAACTTTCGTCACCTCTTAATGTTCTCTTTATGTAAACGCCTAGCCAACCGCGCCCGCAGTGTTGTCTCCTTACCTTTTTTAACAAACTGAAGTTCCAACCTGTCTAAACTTCATAAAGGTAGTTTCTTTTGCGGCCCATATTCGATCAGCGAAGTGGTAATGCAGGCGTCTTGCTTCATTGCGAATTCCTGCTCAACATACGACAGCTTGACCGTCGATTTCGACAATGTCCACCATTAGCCTCATCAGGTTGAAGCCATGCGGTGACTCCCACGGGATTATACTGAAAGCAGACGTGCGGAGAATTTACCCACTCTCTCACCACTCCCACACCGGACCCGATGTCGAGACAAAAGTCAAGCAGACCGGAGGATGGCGCAGGCGTGACCAACATTCAACACGCGTACCAACAGCACGCCTCGCTAGGTAGGGCTCCTGACTGGGAGCGCCATAAAGGCCACATTGCAGCATGAATATCAGCCTGCAGTTAACCACAGTCATACAACAAGACACACTGGGCCGACTGCGGTGTCATACTCAAGATACGACAGTCCTGGATCCCGTCGCTTACGCTGGATAAAATATCGGTAGTTGCGTTCACTGATCCGGTCTGCTGATTATATGACTGAGTGGTGGACGAAGGTATCTTTACCAACCTGCTCATCGCAGAGTTTGTGAGAAAAAAAATAGAAGGCTCAGAGTTTGTGAGCAATTAAATTGCGCACGATTTTAGATGTTTAGTCAGTAAACGACACGATCACTGGAACAAGAACTCTATTTGCCTTAAGTTCGATTTTCCTCAAACCCGGCGTCAGGTAGAGGTAATTCACACGCAGGGAATTGCAGTATTTATAGGGCGCTATCGCACATCTATGACAATTAAAAGCTGCCTCCTTCAGCGAAGATGATTGCCACCGGGTGTGCTAACGGCGTAATATCCGGCATTGGAGTCGTTAATTGCTGAAATTTCACCATCTGTGTTGGCTGTTGGCGTGATGATTGCTCATCCATCAGGCACGGGCGTTAGAAACTCTATTTGTCTGAGGTTATAATTTATACTCAAACCCAGCATCACCTACTGGTAATTCACACGCCGGGAATTGCAGTGTTTCAAGGATGCAGTCGTTATGCTATCGCATATCCATGACAATTAACAGCTGCCCCCTTTGTCGAGGATGATTGCCAATAGCGTAATATCCGGCATTCGAGTCGTTAATTGCTGAAATTTCACCATCCGTGTTGGCTGTTGGCATGATGATTACACAGCCATCTAATTCACCGGCAGCGGCGTTAGAAATACTCTTTATCTGCGCGTTCTCCAAATTGCTAATTACTTTGAGCAAACTAAGTCTCAGTCCCGAGTATTCGATGGGGAGGTCATGGCACTTGTTACTAGACTGGGAGCCAGAGAACCCTAACTGAAGCAGCTCGCGGCTCACCCGATTGTCATCTCCTGCGAGTACTCCGGTTTCGTTGAACTTGAGTGTGGCCGAATTTTGCCGAACGAACCATAGCTTGAGAGTTAGTGTCACTTCTTCACATCGCTGCCACCTGTTTGGCCCTTGGCGCCTTTCAGTTTCTCACGTGTATTTACTTTTCCTGTAACTGCACCAGATCCGATGAGCAACTCCCGACGTTTCCGGTCGTGACAGTGGATCGTTTGGTCTCATTACGTGGCGACGCCTAATAAGACATTTATTCGGTGAATTCTCATTGGGGCTGTTTCCCTTTTGTACTATTTCTTACGGATTCGTTTTCATAAGCATCCATAGAGTTCGCGTCAACTCTTGGCAAAGTGGTTTGTACAAAAAGTAGACGGTCCTTTGATTGCCTTTGCAGCTGTGTAGTGTATACCGCATCCCCGCAGAAATGTCATTGTTTAAGGTCTGCACATTAAGCTGTTTGAAAGAATTGGTAGGATTCAAGTTAAATTAGTTATTTTGGTAGGGCTTTCTTGTGAGGCCGCCTAATGGTCGAGGGTATTGCTCAGTCTTCTTGCCGTAGATGTTTATTTTGTTAACCAATAGGATAGCTCTAATAGCTTTTTGGTCTGCAGGCTTCCTTTTCACCTACGATTTTATTTAAGTAAACCAATTAAAAGCGGCTTTAATTTATTTTCTACTGTGCACTTACGGCGCAATACCTGTTAATTAACCATGTATTAACCCTTTAGTCATTAATTCGATAAGGCATTTGGGGAGGGGGGGGGTAATTCACTTTCAGACGGCCTCAAAAGAAAGCCCTACCATTATCTTACTACTCTGTTCTAACGTTAAAAAACGGCAATGGACGTTTGGACCATCGGCTAATAGTTTGGACTGATGACAACCGTGATCACTCTTCTTTTTTCCTAAGGGATCGTCTAGGCAACCGATTCCACATGATCGCTCATGTCGCAGTGAGTAGAACCGCACAATTTTTCATCTGCATTTGCTTCCCTTTACTATCTTACTTTATTACGGTATTACCGATTATTTTTATTGATTTGGACTTTCAACAGGACTCTTGAATCCCGCTCCCGGCTATTTTCGCGTATCCTTTAAAATTCTACCTGTCTTAAATACTTGCAATCAGAAATTCCCGACCGGCTCATTCTCGTTGTAGGTACTCCTCCACGACCCGCTATACGCATGGTCTCTCAGTCCGGCTCAACTTTGT